TGACCAAGAGCACTACAGATGTTTTTTGCAGCCTCACTTGCTTTTCTTCCTAATTGGAACTCGTAAAGCATGCAGTGCCGAATATGCTCTTCATCCGCCATCTTCTTAGCCCTAGTTTTGCAACAAAAACCAAACACAAACTTTTTCAAGCAAAACTTGTTAATTGCACTTCACACGTCCTGTAGATACCATGTGTTTGAAGGTTATGTCAATACAAGTCAACGCCAAGCAAGATTTTAAACGAATGTTTAAAAACGACATTAATTATTACTAGACCCGATAAAAAAAGAACTGGTGTTGCCTCGGAAGTGGGGGGTAGTCTTATACAGCGAATATAGGCCTAAACCTATGTTTTAACTGTAAAATTGGGGGGTCGTCTTATACGCCGGAAAATACGGTGTGTGTGTGTGTGTATATATATATGTGTGTGTATATATATATATATATATATATATATATTGATTTCAGAGAGGAAGGGAAAGGGGTAGATAGAAACATAACATCAATATGAAAGAGAATCATTGATTGGCTGCCTCCTGCATGCCCCCCCAATGAAGATCAAGCCCGAAACCCGGGAATGTGCCCTTGACTGGAATCGAACCCGGGACCCTCAAGTCTGCAGGTTGATGCTCTATCCACTGAGCCAAACCAGTTAGGGCTCATCTGCATATTTTGGTATCAGTGGGAACCAGTCCCCCAGGGACACCAAGGGACAACTCTAGCTAAATTTCCAAAGTTGTTTGTGGATATTCAACTATGTAGAGATTGGTCCCCCTTACCCCCACATTATTTAAGGGTCAACTGTACCAGTTCCCTGCTATTCATCCCAGTTCTGTGTTTAAAGGAATCTTGTTTCTATTATTTCTTTTTATTTAAATTTTTAAAAATTGATTTTGAGAGAGAAACATCAATTGGTTGCCTCCCGTACGTGCCTAACCAGGGATAGAACACACAACCTAGGCATGTGCCCTGACTAGGAAATGACCCGAAACCTTTTGGTGCCTGGGACGATGCTTAACCCAACTACACCAACCAGGGCTTGTTCCTGTTTGAATGCTTTTTAACAGCACAAAAACCCTCTGAAACTTTTTTTTTAAATTTATTATCTGTGTATATATCTTACCATTGCCCCCCCATACATACCCTCCCTCTTTCTGTAACTTATTTTTATTTATTTTTTATTTTATTTTTTATAAAGGAAAACCCCATTTATTTAAAGATATTTCACATGTATGAGTACAGTTGAAACAGGAATTTTGGGGGGTGAAAAAGACAGGATTTTTAGGACACTTAAGAAATTAAGGGGACCATGGAGGAAGCCCGGGGCTGCAGAGCAGCAGAAGGTATATTTCCATAGAAAAGGGAAACTGGCCGAAACCGGTTTGGCTCAGTGGACAGAGCGTTGGCTTGGGGACTGAAGGGTCCCGGGTTCGATTCCGGTCAAGGGCATGTACCTCGGTTGTGGGCATATCCCCAATAGGGGGTGTGCAAGAGGCAGCTGATCGATGACTCTCTCTCATCGATGTTTCTAACTCTCTATCTCTCTTCCTTCCTCTCTGTACAAAAATCAATAAAATACATTTTTTTTAAAAATTTTAAAAAAAGAAAAGGGAAACTGGAAAGCTGCAACAGGTGCATTTCCATAGAATAAAGGAGCTGGGGACAGTAAAAGCACTATATTTACAAAATAAAGAGAATAAAGCCCTTCATCCAGAAGGAGAAGAAGATAGCCAAAAGGGAATTGGAAAACAATAAGGACAGAGGTTGGGGGGGATTTCACATGTCCCCTGTGAAGTTCGACCTTTGAGCCCATGAGTTTCTATGGTAACAAGGTTAAGGGAATAGTGACCAGTCAGAGGGGATATCAAAGCACCAGATCTCCAGCCTTTAGAAGCCACAGGGAAAAGGGACTCAGAGGGACCCTTTCACCATCCCTACATGGAGTGCATCCTGTGAGACTCTTTCCCTCTCCCCATATGGGAGTCTGTACTTGTTCTTCAATAAATTTCCACCTTTTGTTACGCCCAGACTTCGTGATCCCCAAGGACCACCAGGGAGCCAAGTCCAATGCAATAAACAAAAGAGCCTTTTCCATGCTAGCATGGGCTCTGTCCCACTCATGCTGACAGCATGGCGGAAGAGAGCGAATTTCGCCCAGTCCAGGGGTTTTACTCTGGTCGGTGGTGATGTCACTGCCTCGGCTAACCGTGATTGGTTGGGTGAGGGCTAGGGTTCAGTTACAGAATGGAGGATAACTCCGCCCTGCCCCACAGTGGAGTCAGGAGCCCATCCTCGCCCCGCCCTGCCCTCTCATTCCCCCCTTGTCTAATGTGCCTGAGTCAAATCATTGACTCAGCCTACTTCCTTTCAGCATAAACAACAAATACAGTTACCAAGACCCTTAGTACCACAGTTCCCATCAGTATTGTCCTTATTGAAGCCCAGTTCCCCTCCTGCAGGCATCAGTTCTCTTCCTGGCCTGTAGTTGCCAGGATCCAGGCCATGCAGGAGCTGGGAGTCATGTAGTCAGGTCTGGGTGCCATCTACTTCAACAGCAGTGGGCGTGCTCAGGATAACAGTGCAGAGTCCCTTTGAGTCCTTGGGCAGCGAATTTCTTTACCCACATTGAGTTCCTGGGCTACAGGGTCTGCGGTGGGCACTGGCAGTGCATCTGGAACAAACAAAATGCAGAGCCTCGTCCTGGGAGAGGCTACCATCCCTCTCCCCATATGAGGGTCCCTCTAGGGCCCTCCCGGGAGGTCAGAACGTCTTCTGAAACCTCCTGCCCATGGCCTTCATGGTGCGTCCACCAGGTGTATTCGGGCACCAATTCCATGAGGGGTTTTACGTCCCTTCAGAGTGCGCACACAAGGACACAGACACACACACACCTACTGCGGCCAGTCAGGCTCTCCGGATCGGGCTCCCTCATGGTCCTGGCTGGGGATCCCGGACGAATTCCCCCATATGTTACGCCCAGACTTCGTGATCCCCAAGGACCACCAGGGAGCCGAGTCTGATGCAATAAACAAAAGAGCCTTTTCCATGCTAGCATGGGCTCTGTCCCACTCATGCTGGCAGCATGGCGGAAGAGCTGAAACTTATTTTTAAAAGACTGGTTTTTCACATAGTAAATTTTCTTAGTCACGTACAGATATCATTTAACACTGGCTTTGAGAATGTTTGAATTTTATCATTTTCTGATAAATTCATTAGAAGGCATCTAAAGCTTCAAGTGTAACCAGATATGCAAGGTTGAGTATAAGCTCTATCAAATACTTACAGTGAGCCTCCAGAAGGATTTATTAAATTAACGGGTTCCTGTGGTAATTTATGGTATGAATTAAGAGATGTACAAAGTATATCCTCCTGACTTCCGAAGATCAAGCCAAAGACGATCATATCCACTCTTCCCTTTGTTGGACACATCTCGATGTACCAAAGGCAAAGACCTGGTCCGGGAGAGTTCTTAACAGCTGTACCCTGACAAACTAGCAAGGTGCATCTCCATGTAATTTTTTTAAAAAATATATTTTATTGATTTTCCACAGAGAGGAAGGGAGAGGGATGGAGAGCCATAAACGTCAATGAGAGAGAATCATCGACCAGCTGCCTCCTGCACACCTCCTGTGGGATATGCCCGTAACCAACGTACATGCCCTTGACCAGAATTGAACCTCTATCCAGTGAGCCAAACTGGTTTTGGCATCTCAAGTAATTTGTTACTGATTAACATTAAATTTGTTTATTAAAACTTGTGGATAATTATTTTTTAAATTAAAAGTTTCAGGTTCCCTATTTGACTACTCATATTTTTTTTTAAATAAGTCTTATTTTTTTAAAATATATTTTATTGATTTTTCACAGAGAGGAAGGGAGAGATATAGAAACGTCGATGAGAGAGAAACATCGACCAGCTGCCTCTTGCACACCCCCTACTGGGGATGTGCCTGCAACTCAGGTACATGCCCTTGACTGAAACTGAACTTGGGATCTTTCAGTCCGCAGACCGACGCTCTACCACTGAGCCAAACCGGTTTCAGCTGACTACTCATAATAATGGACAGAACCCTGGGCACACTCACAGGGTTATGAAGCATGTGAACATTATTCATGTGCATCACAGAAGACAAAGGGTTAGAAAGCTGCTCTGGGAAACTGATTTGATTGGATATAGCATTTTTTATCAATGATGAGAGAAGAAGAAATTAATACCAGATTTTGAGTTCAGTTGTAAACTAATTTCAGGGTACTAGCTCTAAACTACATCCTGTGTTAGATTTCATAGGGATCACGGTATAAGAAAGCTTTGTCAAATACATTCATTCTGTGTGCAAGGTAATAAGAGGGAAAAAGACTTAAAATAGACGCTAGTTCACAGCTATATCAGGTCACATTAACTTTTGGAAACAGCGTATACTAGATCCATTTTGTCACTCAATGCATAACTTCAGAACCTGTGGCTTCTCTGGGTCTTATTTTCTTCATATGTAAAATGGGTAGAGGTGGACTACATGACCTTCAAAGTCCCTTTAGATTCTCAAACGCTTAATTTAAGAAGTCTTTGAAATATTTATTCAGGTTCTCTCTCTGAGGCGTTCCTGAGACAGAAATGTTCCATTTCAAACCTAAGACAGCCTCATCTCAGAATCAGGTATTTAAAAAGCTCCTCAAAGAAGGTGTCCTTTGTTTTCACCATATGCCCCAGTACAAAATCTCTATATACAGAAAGTGAGGACGGACGTATAGGCTAGACTGACAATAGCTAACGATGAAGATGAAAAGGACATACTTTAGTGTTGCTGTTGGCACCAAATCTAAAAACATAGGCCATCAAATAAGGCCTTTCACTAAATACCATTCCTTACCTAATTTCTCCGTATCTGAAAAAGCCCTCACTTCTCAACTGAGTTGATCACATCCATTTCCCCTTCCTGAATGCTCTTGTTGAGCCCTCCGTCTGAAAGGGCAGGGAGGAAACAATGATGCATGTCCATTATTTCCGTGGAGACCAAGCTGTTTCACTTCATGTTTCATCAGTATGAGCACAGGTAATTTCTAGAATCCTATACTCCACACACTTACTATGTTCTTCTGCTTATTCACAGTGTTCTCTTTTCTCCACAATTAAGCTTGAAACACGTTTGAGTAGGCGCGGAGTAAATGTGTATCTAGTCTGTGAGTGCAGCAGGGATCTCAGATGGCGAAAGAATGAGAGCTTCAGGCTCCGCCCACCTTCATGCAACACCATTCCCAAAGCTCTTCCTACCCTTCGCTTTTATTTCCTGTCTGGAACACCCTATCTTCAAACCTAATTCTAAGGACCAATTCTGGACATGAAAAGACAACACAGTTCATCCTTTTAGTTTCATATTTTTTCAGTTCATTTCAGTATAAACATAATATAAACAGCATTGCCACCTTTTCCCCTCCTGGGGGTGATCCATCAAGCTTGTCCGTCAGGGCCGCTCCAGTGGTTCACAGCTCATCATGCGGTACACGCAGGGCATGGTCACATAGATCTGCAAGCAGCACATAACAGTTGGAAAGAAAATGTCACCCTTACAGTGATATATTCCACTATTAAGAAAATACCCCCAGGCCAGGCCCGGAGCAGCAGCTGCCAGGCTGGGAGCGGCCAGGCCCGGAGCAGCCGGGCCCAGAGCAGCCGGGTCTGGTGCGGCCAGGCCCGGAGCAGCGGCTGCCAGGCCCGGAGCGACCGGGCCCGGAGCAGCCGGGCCCAGAGCAGCCGGGTCGGGTGCTACCAGGCCCGGAGCAGCAGCAGCCAAGTCCAGAGCAACTAGGTCAGGAGCGGCGATGACCAGACCCGGAGCAGCTGGTTGTGGAGCGAACCAGAGCAGCAGAGGCCAGGCCCGGAGCAGCCAGGCCCGGAACAGCTCACTCCTCACCTGCCCCTGCCCCACGGCTGCCTCTCAGACATGGCTGGAAACTTTTGTGGGAACTTGAGGGTCTGCTGAGTCAAGTGATGAAGGCTTAGATCTGGATGTGTTGAGTTAGTATAGGGCTGGGGTGTTGATCTGTGAGTGCCTTGGGTGGGGCCTGGATGAGGCTGGTTGACCTATTTGGAAATGTCTTTTGTGTGAAATGTATCATTGGGCATGTGGTGGTATTATTGATATGAGAAAATGCTAAGTAACTGATTTACTATCTGAAAAGGGATTTACTATCGGGGAAAGGGAGGGAAGAAGAGACTGAACATAAACTGCACCTATGAATGAGGACAATGGGGGATGGGGAGGGGGCGGAGGGTGGAGGGGGGAAGAAATGAGGAACCTTTGTAACAATATGAACAATAAAGATTGATTTAAAAAAAAAATACCCCCAAATCAAACTGATACACACACCAACCACCATTTTTCAGAGCTTATGTTTTTTTTTTTTTGTTTGCTTGTTTTAATCCTCATCTGAGGACATGCTTAAGAGAGAGGAAGGGAGGGAGGGGGGGGGGGGGGCCTTGATCAGATGTGCCCCAATCAGGAATTGAACCGGTAACCTTGGATGCTCAACCAACTGAGCAACTCTGGCAGGGCCAGAGCATATGCTTTTAAATGACAAAACATTCCTATTATCCCCTGACTTGTACCTCATAAGGGAGCCACAAATTCTGAAAGCTGACAGGAAGAGAATGAATAGGAACAACCCAAGTCCCTAAGCCATGGGTAATGTACGCCAACTCTTGAGAGCTAGTATCAGGGGTAGGGTGACCGCTAGGGAATGTGCCCGATTCCACAGCTGTGAGGACAAAAGGTAAAGTGGGAGCAGCTTACCTGTTCGCTTACTACAAAGTTTGTCTTTAATATTGTCAGCCTCTCGCGAAAAGAATTCAATGAGTTCATCCTCATATTCCTCCACAATGGTCTCACACTGCAAGAGGAGAGAGGAGAACCAGGATATTAATCCTGTTTTCCACTCAGGCTCTCCAATAGCTCCCCTCATTTCTAAGAACCAGCTACCCACGCCCATAGCTCACCGCAAACTTGAGTGTGCCTCGGATGTCCGAATCAATTCGGATGCCCTCTAGATTCACACCATTGGGTTCTCCGTTCCGGTTCACTACACGTATGTAAATGTTTCGGTGGGTGTCAGGGTCAATCTGTTCCCCATACTCCTTCATCCGGTCACATACTTCCTCCAGCAGCTCCGTGAGGTGGGCCTCTGAGCGAGCATAGGGCACCTAGAAATGTCCTCAGCCTTGGGTCACTGTCTTCTACCTCCGTGCATTAGTAATTTACATCATCCTTTTCCTTCCAAATCTAGCTCAGCCAACCTAGTGTAAAAAGCCTGCCTTCTATAAAAACAGTATGGGTTTATTTTTGTATTCCTAAGTGTTTTCAAATACTGTATGTAGTCTTATTTTACCCCATATACAAGCCCAAGATATAAAATTAGTGCCATTAGGTCCAAATTATATAAAGATACCTCTTTGATATTAACCCTGCCTGGTCAACTATGTGTTCTTTTCTTTTGAATTCCTTTAATTTTTATGGATGTAAGATAATGATTTTTTTTTGTATGAAAATGAGACTAAAACCTGCCCTCAGTAGGAGAACATTAGAAAGGTAGCATAGGTTTTGAGAATAACTATTAAATCATTTCACAAGCATTACATTTACATTTCCTTATTGTTCATTAGGTACAATTTTATTATATGTGCTATGTTTTCATCTAAAATAAATTTCTTAAATATAAGAATGAGAACGTCTATTTCTTTTTTGAGTGAATGTGTGCATACCATATTGCCACCGTGAAAACATGAGTCGCATGGATTAAGCATGCGGAGAGAGGGCTGATCAGGGTTCTGGTCTGCTAACAGCTTCTTCAGCAGAAGCAAAGTGGCAAGGCTTGGAACCAGGAAGCAAGTGCACAGGGAATATCTCCAACCTCTTCCAAATGAGACGGCCTATCTTTTAGATACCTCTCTGGGTCAATGTTTTCTTCATTTCTATTAAACCAAGCTCCTTAATTAGTTGAGTCCTCATTCAACGTCAGCGTGAGCTACTTTATTTGAGCTAACAGTAACAGTTACCTCCACCACCGACTGGCTGCCATCGGGGTTGATTCGGAAAGAGCCCATCTGAATGGTCTTCTTGGGATCCACCTGGGCAATTTCCCACTCTAGTTCGTCCACCAGGGCCCTGCAAGCTGGCGCGGCGGGAGGGGAAGTGGAGGGAGGGGAAAAGAATCAACCTAGGGATTTCCATTCATTCTGGTCCAGGCTTCGGGTCTCACGTCTTCCCGACGCTCTGCACTCCCCACCCTCCTCCTGCGGCTCCTCTTTGTGTCTTTACCTCCACAGTGCAGGTCCTGGGCCGTCCGAGCCCAGGCAGCGCCCAGCAGGGCCCCCAGAAGCAGGGCCAGCCGTCCCCAGCCTCTCATCTTGAACGCAGTGGGGCCGCTTCACCTGGGTTTGGGTGGAACACCGCGTAAACGCGCGGAGCCGGCTCCGTCCCCCTCCCGCCCCTCTTCCCACGGCCTCCACAGGCCTCCGTGCGGGGCTCTCCTTTCCAGGAAATGGCGGGACACACGGGGGCTCCTCGGGGCCGGCGCCGGAGGCCGCGGGCTGCCTCGAGCAGTGGGTCTGGGCTCAGCCGCGGGCACCGTGCGGACCGGAGGCCGGGTCCGCCTCGGCGTCCTGTGCGGGGCTCACCGGCTGAGGCCGAAGGCTGGGGACTGAGCGGGGGCCGGAGAGCGCGGCCGCCGGCGGAGCAGCTGCGGGAGCGGGAGGCGGCGGGGCGGCCGGCGGCTCACACTGCGGCTCTGTACCCGCCTCCCGCCTATCAGCTGCCTCCTCCGCGGGCCGGCCCTCCGGAGGCCCCGCCATGGCCTCCGCGCCGCCCATCCCGGCCCCCGCGCCACGCACCCACCCCACCTCTGCTCCCGGGGCCGCCGTGCGCGGCCGGACGCCGGGCGGTGTCTCACGCTGGGTCCGGGCTGCAGCGCCGGCTGCGGGAGCGGGGTGTCCGGGCTCCCCGGAGGCTGCGGCGCTTTCGGACGCGGGTGCCCGGCGGCCGCCTGAGCAGCTCCCCGCACCTCAGTGGGGACCTGAGCGGGGCTCCGATCCACTGCGGGGCCGGCCACGCCAGCGCCGGACCCCGGGCCCGCTCTCTAATCTCGCGCGAACAGGCAGGTTAGGAACGACTCCCAGCAGCAAGGACCGGGGGACCGCAGGACCCGGACCTGCGTGGCGAGCAGCTCCACGTGACCACTAGGGGTCAGCCGAAGACCAGGAGCGGCCTGCACCGGGACAGGCCTGGAGGGGGGTGTGGAGGCGGCCAGGCGCTCTGTGTGCTGGGACCTTCAAAAACAAAGGTGCACTGTGCCGACAAGAAGCCTGTTCTATATGTATTACTTTTGTAATACTTTCAACAAAAACAAAAAGCTCGTTTCAATGCCCTGGAAACTACGTCTCCCAGGGAGCACCGCAGCACCACGCAGACCTTTTGTTAGTAGCCACAGGTTTTAAGATATCCTGGGACCTGTAGTTTGTCAGCTTCTCCACTCCCCTTCCACAGTTAACTGTTCAGTCCTACTCTACGTCTTAAAAGAAACAGCATTGACCTAAGATTGTCCAGTCAGACATTAATTATACTCCTCCAATATCCTTAACTTTGGACTCCACAGAGCTTTACCTAGGAGGGAATTTAAAAGCCTTAGATTTTCCCAGTTATAATAGACAACACAGAAAGGAGATGCTCCAAAAAGCATCCCACACTCGCAGGTCTCCAATGAGATAGATGACAGTCAATAACATTTTTGTGTTTATTTTATAAAACATGCAATTTAAAACAAAACTTTAAAAAATAACAAGAAGACAAAACTTGTAACAGGAGAGTGGAGTGGATGGAAGACAGATGCTTTTCAGCTGTCGGCAGGAAGGAAGCCAGCAGCCAAGCTTTGTCTTGGACTCAAGGCCCTTTTGGCAACGATGGTGTTGGCAACACTGGTTTGCTAGGGCCACGAGACTGTATGCTGGCTTCCTGGCATCCTTCAAGCAGCCATAGACTTGAGCTAAGTCTTGAACTGCTGTTGTTGTAACTGGTTACTCTCCAGTACCTAGCCAAGTAGGAACTGGAAGTTTTGGTTCCAGGATCTTCTTTGCCTGGATATTAATCACCCAGGATATTTATTAAGAATACCAATTACTTTTCATTTAGACTGTTTTTTGCAAAGGATGTGAAAGGAATCTAGCTGCTAGACCCTTTGCAACAATTCTGCTGCATTCCAGTTCTATCAATAGCACCACCTGTAAACCCTGAGCAGGTTCAATTCTGGAAGTAGACAGGGTATAGCCAACTTAGGAAGCTATCTCCCAGTTCTGAGGCCACAGAACACTGAAGGGAGAGGCAGCAGCTGGTTGGGAGAGGATGAGGTCAGAGTGCCAACACTGAAGAAAAAACAGCTGCATCTGTCAGAGATAAAACCAAGAACATTGACTCTTAAAGTGAGTGGAGAAAAAGTACTTTGGATTCTTATGAAGGAAAAATGCACGAGAAAAGAGGGCTTGGACCTCCCCCAAACATTTTAGACCTGGGCAAAAGCTATTTCACTGATAGTTGGATTAAGTGCTTTGTAAATTGTTAAGTGCTTTGCAAGAATATAAGGTAAGGATGGTACTGTTGTTAACATCAGCATCATTATTATTATGGTCACATAAGCAATCAAAGCCCACCCAGTTCAGTTTCCCTTGTCCCATCCCAGGCCTTACTCTTGGGACTTGTCTGGCCCTCAGGCTCAGGCACCTTCCAGTCCATCTTTCGGCCCTTCTCATAAAGGCCCTTGAGTACTTTGTGGAAGGACTCAGGCTCAGTGCCATTTTTGCTTAGCTCCAGATACTTTTGGTAAAGCTGAAGGGCTGTGCGAGCATCTTCAATACTGTCATGGGTCTCCCCTTGAATCTTCAGGTCTAGGGGAGGTAGAGGTGGAATAGTTTGAGACCTAGCAAAGGAAGATAAGAACATGTCCCCTACTCACATCCCCTACTCCCAATAAGCAATAAAAAACCTGACTGCCTTTAAGGGAAGAGGCCAAACACCATCCCTGGTGTACTGAAGGGATACTGACACTAATTAAATCCTTTAATAACTTCACCACTAACCCGGGATCCTTTTTACTCCCTGTGGCCTCTCCCACACTTTTTCCTGCTCTTAATGAGCACCACAAGCATCTTTAAGGCAGAACAACTCACCTAGAAAGTACCAAGCAAGGAATCGCAGGGAAATCATTCGCTTTCGGGGCATGTGAAACAGATAGACAGTGTCAAGGACTTGGTCCTTGGGTACCTGGCAGGAATAAAAGAATGGAAGGCTGAAGACAGGGGATCCCAAAACTTCCCATTCCCCAAGGCACATGTATACCCTGAGTGGCCCACACTCTAAGAAGACTCTTAAAAGAGCCCTGCCCGAACCATGAGATTGATGACCCGGAAGTCCTTCTGCAGACCATGACCCACAAACTTGACTCCAATGTCTATGAGAAAACGAAGCTTTAAGTACGTAGACTTGAGAGTTGTGAGGTGCTTAGAGGAAATCTTGGCATCAAGATCTCCTGGCTTTATTCCTGAGTATTGAGTCAAGTAATCCACGACCTAGGGGTAGAAAAAAGGACAAGTCTCTCAGGAAGTGAGCTACAATCTCCCCTACCGCTCTCCCCTGGGTTCTAGAACACTCTACATAAGCACAGGGTCTGTGCCACTTGCACTGCCGTATTCTAATACCTGCTCCTGGGTAGAGATGTAGTCATCAATGAACGGGATCCCCTCGTTGGGTCCCTGGCCCCGAACACAGGTAATCCTAGCGACTGACATCTGACTTGGTTTGATGGTTGACTTGGTACCATCACTGCGTAACTCTGCCTCCTCCTACACAAGAAGAGTTAATAAGGAAATCAGAGAAATACTTATGACTCTTAGCATCCCCAGATTTCTGCTCTAACATTCTACACTTTTTGGTCTTGGTTACCTCATTAAGGGTGACAAATTCAGCATCCAGGCCCACCAGGTCCCCAACCTGTGGCATCTCATTCAGCATCAGCGGAATAAAGGTAGTGTGTGTTTTCCGCTGCTTCCGTGCTAGTGAGGCTTCAGCCATCAGGACACTCGCCTCAATAGGGTTCTTGACTGAAAGGGAGAATCCAGAAGACACATTGCTGGGGGAAGTGACCGGGGGAAGGGGGGGGGGCAAAGTAGCTGACCAGAGACAAGGTCTATACTATGATCCCTCAATAACTAAAACATGTGAGTAAAAAGATGATGTTTGATGAACAAAGCAGGTAGATGGAATAGGTAAATAAAAAATGTGATAAGGCCCTGGCTAGTGTTTCTCAGTGGTTAGAGCGTAGCACATACCTGGGTTGCAGGTTCAATCCCCAGCCCTTGTTGGGGCATATGTGGGAGGCAATCAATTGATGTGTCTCTCTCACATTAATGTTTTTCTCTGTTTCCCCATCCCTCTTTCCCTTCCACTCTCAAAAGTCACAAGATAAAATATCCTTGGGTGAAGATTAACAACAAAAAAGAAATGGGATTATGGAAAAAACAACAGAAGGGAAAAAATAAGATTTTCATTTTGGACTTTAGCTTAGAAAGTCTACAAAAATAAAGTTACAATTTAAAGGCACCAAAAAGGGACTTAATAAGGAGTTCATTTCCAAAAGAAGAGATCTTCACTTGGAGATAAGAATGATTAGACTCAAAATCATAACCTTAGCTACCTGATCAGACTTTTTCCCAACACCTCCTTCCACTATACCTTCAGGATCTGCAGCTTCTAAATTTAAGGCCTTATGAGTAGACTCTCTGTAGTACCCCTGAAATATTAACACTGGTTGCAGATCTTAACTTTTTTTTTTTAAAGCATGCCTCTTTTTTATTGATAGACTGATTTATTTATTAATTTTTTTAGAGAAAGGGAGGAAGAGGGAAGAAAGGAGAGAGAGAGAGAGACAGAGAGAAAGACTGATTTGTTGTTCCACTTATTTATGCATTCATTGGTTGCTTCTTGACTAGAATTGAACCTGCAACCTTGGTGTATCAGGACTATGCTCTAATCAACTGACTACCCAGTAAGGGCACAGATCCTCATCTTATAAAGCTACTTCCCAGGACTCTTCCTGAAGACCAATCTAAACTACCCACACCTTGGGTCTACTCTTGTACAACTTACTGTGCAGGTTGTATTTAGAATTAAGATTTCTTTTGGTGTAATAAAGGATAGCAGGCACTTTCCAATTCATGTCAAACTGCACAGCTTCATGCTATAAAAGAGAAAGCAGTTAATGGCCTACATGCATGCTCCTTTTCCCCAAATTAGTCAGAAGATAGGACTCTGGTGCTATGTTTAGCTCTGCTAATGCTTATAGTTCTTGAGAACCCCTCCCTCCCTCCTAAATTTGTCTGGCATTCTCTAGGGCACTGAGGATGAGGATGCTAGGAAAAGGGGGAGATGCAATGTGTTACCACTAACCTTATCAATAGGTTCAATAAGAAAGTCATTGAAGAGATACCACTGCTGGTGGGTAACACCCTATGGAGATACAGAGAAAGACTGATGCCAAAGTGATGGCTGGATCACTCTGCCTCAGACTGAAGGCAAGGACAGATCTTGGATTCCATTCTGGCCACCACCAGGAGTATCCCTGCACTGTATTATGTCACTCACCTCCTTGCGTTGGTGGTAGGTCTCTCCAACTTTGATGTGAGCCACCAGGCTGCCCCCTGTGCGTGAGTCCAGGATGTGTACCACAGTGGCCATCAGGTCATACACACAGACACCATGTTCCTCCTCTGCCCTGGCTGGGCCCCACTGTGAGGGGGGTACCCAGGCTGCTAAGCTAAGTTTCAGGATGGGGAAGGAAGGGGAATGGGGGTAGAGGACAAGGATCTTGGGGTATGGAATGGGGCACCACGGAGGGTTATCTCCATCCTAGCCCATCTATGACTCCCAACAATGAACTGAGTGACTCTGGAGAAGCCCACAACTGGCCAACACTCAGCTTTGCTCCCTTTCTTTTTCCTATACTAAGTTCCACCTTCCCCCTGCCCTGCTTCTGCCCCATCCCTCTCTTCCTTATTCCCCCTCCTCTTCCCAATTTTCCAACAACCTGCATCTCATCCCCATCAGTCCAATTGCAAACATCCAGTCCTTTGTTCTTGGTCAGCTT